TTTCTTTTTTAATGGTTAACTCGATATTTTCATTGAGTAGCTGTAGTGCCTTATTTTCTTCATCGTGGGACAGATGGAGAAAATAACATTTAAATATCTATTGAAAATCCTTTGAAACAAATCTCAATTGCTGTTCTGGGCCAGATTTTTAAAACTTTCCATAAAAATTTCAGCGGGAGTTTTCCTGAGTTGCCCATAAGTGCAATTTTAGATTGTATGAGGAAACCGCCATTGAAAGAAACATAATTCACCTCTACCATGCAAAACTTTATTCGCTTTATGATAGAGTTAACTGATCGATTAGTTGGTCCTTTAGGTGAATTATCTGTCGCAAGAAGCTTTCCGATGATTTTTGTAGCAACGTCAATAGGAATATTAGTAAACAAATCATTTGGTGTCGTAACTGACAAAAATGTTCGCTTTAGCAGGCTTAACCTGTGTCAGTTTGATGCAGAACTCCTGGGAATCTTTAGTGTATGACGGTTTTTTTCACTTAATATATCGAGTATTTTTGACCTCTGCAAGAAAGTATTTCATGGCGAGATAATTGGTCTCTAGGGAACATGGAGTTTACGCATTGTATGCAAATGACGAAAGTTGTCAGGTAATTACAATTGAATTTGTGAGGTATTTGTATGGAGCTAAGGGACTTGTGATTTGGAATATTTATGATGTTGTTGGCAAATGCCAGATTTATTTCAGGAAACTTCTCTGTCGATGAATCTTTGTATTAAAATGCAATTTAAGAGCCAATGGTTGTACATATTGCAAGTTATTAATTTCTTATAGCGAGTTAGCACAGATGTTTGGATGGGTTTTATTCTAACTTATGAATGTTTTACTTTTTATGTCACTGCATGTGTTTTATGAAACATATTTTTCCTTTAAGCCAGAAAATCTGCTTTATTCCAAACCTGGCAATGACGGAGTTCTTAAATTAACAGATTTTGGATTCGCGAAAAGGTGTGAACCGTCCGCCGTAAAGCCGTTAGAAACGCCGTGCTACACGCCTTACTATGCGGCGCCGGAAGTTTTAGGGACCGACAAGTATGACAAGTCTTGTGACATGTGGTCTATCGGTATCATCATGTACATACTGTAAGTTGTTATACGTTTCTCATGCCTGATCATCTTGTAAACCGATCGTTGCACCAGGCTCTGCGGTTTTCCACCGTTTTACTCTTCGCACGGATTGGCGATGTCCCCTGGTATGAAAAATCGCATCAAAGCGGGGCAATATGAATTCCCTTCCCCTGAATGGGACAAGGTTTCTGACAAAGGTATTTATCAATTTATTGTAACTGCCGATTCTTTTAACTCCAGCAGTGGTACTGGTCTGTGGCTTTCATCATGTTTCAGCTCCCCTGGTACATTGTTTGAACTTTTTATATCCTTTATTATTCCTAGCTTCAATAAATTTACTCCGTATAGCGTTATTGCATACGTGTTGTCTGATATCATGCTTCTCGCTGGATCCCTACTCAGGCTGCATATGACTACAGCACGATTAACTAATGACCACTTGAAAAAGAATATTCCAGTCGTTCGTACGATTAGCATTATCTTCAAAAACTTGGAACGGATCAATTTATACTCTTTCTGGTTTTTGGCGGTGTTGGAGGGTTGGGGTTTGATTCGCAGAAACATTTACTCCATTCTGCGAATTCACCATTTCGTTGTCGGCATTATAGTGCGAACACTGCAGTAAAACCACTGTGAGTATTGGATGCCGGAATTTCTACTCACTGTAACGACTTAATTATGATTCTGGCGCTGACCGCTTGTAACTGGCTGAATTCGATGATAAAGCGGGTTAATTTAGCTCTTTTTGTTGATTACTAAGATGTATGTACCTTACACTGTGCTGAACACAAAGCTTTGTTCATCTACAGCCGTATATGCAAGTGTCCATTACTTATTTATTGCCGCTGATTAATTTCATATTTAACATGAATTCCTGCTTCTACAGTCTCGTAGAAACTTGTCCTGTTCTACGTATTTATGAACTAAGGTTTAAAACGAACTGTAGTTGATTTATATCAGTACTATCTTAATGAATGATTTCGTACAAGTATTTTAGCAGGTTTCGAGGCAGCATTGCCTACTCCCATTCGTTCTAGAATTCTAAGCGGCGTTTAAGCAAGCTGAAATTCTCCTCTATCTGAGCATGGTTGTTGTGTCGATGAGTGACGGCATCACTGCGTTCGCTGAAACACCAACGTCATACATGTTCGTGGTACCAGTGATGCGTGTTTAACCCGTTTACGTTATAATATAACGATTCTGGTCTCCAAATTTCCAAGCTAACTGAAGTTGTTTTGCTCCAGTATCACCATCGAGAATGGCAATTGTGAAGTGTTATAATGTGGGCTGTACCTAATTATCTTCAATATGTTTCAGAAGAGCGGCTAAAGATCAGGCTTTTTTCTTAGTGTATGTCAGAAATTATTTAAATGAGAGTGTGTAGAATTTGCACATTTTTACGTGACCTCAACTGGTCTTTTCTCTGACTGCTTTCAAATGGGATGTATGTTTAGCGAAAGACCTTATACGAGGATTATTAAGAACCGATCCGGCTACACGACTGCAGATAAATCAAATGATGGATCATCCATGGATTGTGGTAAGTTTACGTTCTCTTCGTTTTACCAGTGTGCTTTGTAGCTGTCTCTAAACCAGCACGTTTTGCAGGGATATTCAAAGGTACCTGAAACACCGCTTTGCACCCCGGCGGTTCTTTCAGAAGGAAAGGCGCAGTGGACGGAAGTGCAGGTGATTATATTTGATTATAATTATTTTTGTGGCATGTTTCGTTGTGGCTTTAGGAAGAAATGGCTAATGCCCTGGCGACAATGCGCGTCGACTATGATCAGATGCACATAAAAAATTTGGGAGAAACTAACAACAAGCTTCTGGCAAAGCGAAAAAAGAAAAATTTTTTTGATATGAAGCTGTGATCAAGCGCTCCATGCAAATCATCACTTACCGTTCAGTTACTATACGTTAAACCAGATTTAGTGTTTTATCAGAATCCTTGCTCGTATCGATTATTTTTATGATTAATAATAAGGGAATGTCTACATTTTAAAATCGATATATTGCACCATCTCCATTGCTTTGTTATTCACTGTATCGTTCGACATTTTAGGAATAAAGGTGCATGGTCCGCTTTTTGTCTTGAGATCGAGACTTTCTGTTTATGCAAGCTGTGCTACCACTTGAAATTTTTGACTGAATTTCTGGAATAGCCGTAATTTGAAGAAAGTTGCAGGACACCTTGTCCTTTCTCAGAATGTGATAAAAAATTTGCAACCGTTTAAACGTTCGCCCCAAACAGCCGTAATTTAAACAGCGTTTATTTGGGCTTATGGACGAACGCTAGTAGCGGTACCCATTTATCTATTTTGGCAGGATCGTAAAGCAGTTATCCCAGGCAGGATATGGGCTATCGATATTCTGACTGCAGGTTTGACGCCTTGCAGACTGGTTTTTGAAAATATTTACCTACTGTACCTAAGAGTATAATAATTGTGCTATCACAAGCTGTTCAACTTCATGCATGTTTTGTTTAGCGCTGTTATCATTACGCTTTTGATTTGAATAATAATAGGTAGACTAAAAGTCAGGTTATGAGTTGTGAGTAATATGGGCTAAATACTGGAGCGACTTGATCTAGTTTAATGCACGGTTAATGAATAATTTCTAACGTTATCTGTCATTTTTTTTCTCAAGATGTCGATCAGGTTTGATCTGAGAGTGGTAACTGGGTTGGAAGAAACTTTGGGTACAAACCGCAGATAATTTGCTAAATAGCTCAGTTCAGTAATACGTGCTAAGAAATTCGCCAGGTTTTATTTCTGAAGCAAATCTAATTTGACGCAATTGTTTTGCCATATGTTTCAAATGGCGTCCATGGGTTGGTCATTGCTGTGCTGCATCTTAACAAATCGTGCCCAGTTGATAGAAGAATAGCTTAGCCATACGAGGCAACGAATTATTTCAGGCTAATAGAAGGCACGGGTTAGATTGAGAGTGCGCTGCGTTTCATTGCCAGCTGATTCACATGAATCAACTACGATAGTCTCACCGTGTCGTATTCGATTGAATAATGCAGAGTTTCATTGTAACTGATGGCATCTATCACAAATGCCATCTGTTTATATGACTACCACATATGCAACGTGGTGATAAGCATAGGCGGATTAACTCTACTCTAACAATCCAAAAAAATGTTAATAGACAAGTTGGGCCTTGCCGTAGAGAGACTGTGACGGCAGTGCGAGATTGGTCTTGTACTCAACGCATATCGTATATCAAGAAAGCATCGGCAATTGTCTAAACAATGAGCTTCTTGTGTTGATGGGCGTCTACAGCTTTCAGGACATGAAGTCTCTACATGATTTCGGTCTCACTGACCTGGTGTTGCTTGCCACTAGTTTCGATGCTCGAATGGACTGCGCTATGGTCAACAACATTTAGTGCCTTGGAATTAGGCAATTCTTCATGTCGTGTCTTTGGATCACTGCTTTCTGCGAATGATACCATGAATCTGTGGCAAATGCAGATTGCATATATTCATTCAACAAAACAACTGTATGCATCTGAAAAGATTACTGTTGACAGAGGTAGGTAAATTTTGGAAACCGGTTGCACTTCCTACACCATCAACGGAGTGATTCGGGAGAAACACACGGTAAGCAATTGTAAGATTTTCATTTATCCTCTACTGCTGTGTCACTTACAGATGAGAAGTAAGACTCTATGCTTGTCTTCTCTTGACATCAGGAACGCCTTTGACACTGTGCAATATGACTCGATATTTCGAGCGATGTTGAGAGTTGGTACCTTTTTCACTTCGTACAATTAGTCGAAGACTAATGTGCCGGATTTAGTGCTACACTCCTTGATGAGAGTGAAGTGTTGGTAATCTTCCTGCTTGCTGAGAGGAGGCGGTGAAGCATGGAGACTCACCCAGTCCTGTGCTGTTCAACCCAATAATAGATGAGTTGCAGGACCAGCCAAAGCATTTGACTGAGTATCAGCTAGAGGGAATAAGATTGATGTTTCGACACTCTGGCGATCTATTACTGTTTGAGTCTGACGACCGCCAGATGCAAACTTTACTCGATTACGTAACTAATTCTCCAGATAACAGTCAATTGAAGTTAATATGAAGAAGTGCCTCGTTCTCCATCTAATACTTAGAGCCAAATAGCGTAAGGTCCAAATGTCAGAGAAATATTCGGCTAGGACTAAAAGTGAAGAACTACACTGGTAACGGATTGAAGCCCGTAGTCTCAATATGAACACTTCATTTAGACCCTTTCACCAGCTTTAGGAATTAAAGAATATATCCACCGCTAAGAGGAAACGCAATTAAATCGGGGCAGAACATGTTTCTATGTGGTGCCCGCATTGCGTCTAGGTTCAGCTGCCAGCTCACCATCGGTACTTGGAAGAAGATACTTGATGAAGAGCTCTTGCGCCCCAGCTCAAACTTAAGGAATGTCAGCCCAAACGGACCTTTGGTAGTTATACCATATATAC